CCTTCTGATGGCTTTTTTTTTTTTTTTTTTTTTTTTTTTTTTTTTTTTTTGAGATGGAGTCTCACTGCTGCCCAGGCCGGAGTGCAGTGACACAATCTTGGCTCACTGCAACCTCCTCCTCCCAGGTTCAAGCAATTCTCCTGTCTCAGCCTCCCACATAGTTGGGATTACAGGCTTGTACTACACCTGGCTAATTTTTGTATTTTTAGTAGAGATGGGTTTCACCATGTTGGCCAGGCTGGTCCTGAACTCCTGACTTCAAGTGATCCACCTGCCTCAGCCTCCCAAAGTGCTGGGATTACAGGCGTGAGCCACCGCGCCCGGCCATCAATGGTTTCTCTACTTTTTCCTGGAGCCTTTCCAGTTGTCACACAGTCTACTCTGGCTTAATTCTCCAGACTCTACATCTGCACGCAGCTCCCAGCCATACCTGTCTGCTGCCTGGAACCAGCCTCTAATCTCTAAGCTACTGCAAATGCATCTCTTCTGTCTGGATCATTCTTTCTGCCCATTCTTCAGGTCTCAGCTGCTTGTCATCCCTTCCTCCTGGAAGCCTTCCCTGATCCTACCAAGCTTGGTTCTCGGCTCCCTTCGAGGGCTCCTTAAATATCCTGATCTTAGCAAATATTCGCAGTCTGGGTCACTGTCATCCAGACTGGGAACCCACAAGACCCTTTAAGGGAGGACAGAGAAAGATCAGGACATGTGAAAACAGGTACCTTTGGGAGGAAAGGGATTGGCTGAAAGCTACCTGGACAAATCCAGGAAGGAGGGATTCAAAGGAGCTGATAGTTAGCTCTTATCGATCGAGTGATAATTGTTTGCCAACTGATCTGTTTTCCTGCTAGACTTTAAGCTCCATGAAGGCAGGGCAGGGATTGTATCTGTCTTATTCACTGCTCTATTTTCAGCATCAGGCAGTGCTCAGCACGTGGTAGGAAGGACAGGGTAAAAAAGAAGACAGGGCAAGTTGGGGAGCATGCCAGGGAGATATTACAGAGAACCTCCAAATAGCAACTGGGCTGGCAATTAGGACGTGAATGATGATGCTGGTGAGTGCAGTTTTCAAGTGCACAGAAGAATATATAGCATATTAAGTACAAAAAGCCTGATCCTCACTTTCAGAGGCTGAGGTGGGAGGATTGCTTGAGCCCAGGAGTTTGAGACCAGCCTGGGCAGCAATAGCAAGATCTTGTCTCTACAAAAAATATAAAATTAGCCAAGCATGGTAGCATGTACCTATAGTCCCAGCTACTTGGGAGGCTGAAGTAGGAGGACTGCTTGAGCCCAGGAGGTCAAGGCTCCAGTGAGCCAAAGCCATGATTGTGCCATGGCACTCCAATCTGGGTGACAGAGTAAGACCCTTTCTCGAAAAAAAAGAAATGTCTAGCTCTGTGGCTAGCAATAAATGGTAGCTATTGCTGTTATTGTCAAAATTGAAGTAACCTGGAAAAGGCCATGGCCTCTAAGGCTAGGTGTAGGGGAGGGAAAGATTTCCCACGACCTTCACCTTAGGCTGGACTTCCATAATGTGGGCTCTGTGCTTGGAGAAGAATTCCTTCTGCAGAGCCTGCGGCAGGCTGCTAACAGCAGTGATGTGATGCGGTACATCATAGTCAAGTTTGGTTAGGTGATGCTGAGATTAACCCCCCAATTCCCAAATCTCCCGCTATACGTACGATGTGGTTAGTGGGGGACTCTCCAAGGAACTCAAGAAGCTTGGCGTTGCCAAGGGTTCTTTTGCGGTGGGTATGCTCATCTCTGCCAATTGTTTCTCTCATGATATGTAGCTTACACTAATTCTGAAAATGACTTATCCTCTTGTGTGTGTGTGTGTGTGTGTTCAGCAGTGGCTCACGGGAGACTTGGCGGTGGCGGGGGGGGGTGTCTATGAAACTGGCCAGAGGGATGTGTCAGCGCCCCTGCCTTAAGCAGGAAGTAGCTGAAAGGACAAGACTGGGCTGAGCTTTGACAGCTCACATGTGCAATTTCCAAAGAAGTGGATCCCAGATTCTAGAAAACAATGTGTGGTCTCCACTCACCGGGTTCTGAGAGCTTGGCAGCTCCGGGTAGGGGTTAGGGTTTTCCTGGGGAAAGCGGGCATTCTATTGTAAGTTACCCTGGGAAGGGGCAAATCCCAGCACAGAAAATGAGGAGGGGGAAAGGGGCATGCATTGGGCCCAGAACCCCGTTGTGAGCTGAGCCCCAGTGGAGGGAAGTGGGGCAGACAGCTGCTGTCACAACGAGGCTGGGAGGCACCCAGGCAGCGGGTGGGTCTCCCAGAACAGCCTGGGTCTGTGAGCTTTCAGCACACCAGACCGGCTTCCACGTCTGGGCTTCTCTGGGTAGCAATTTCCAGCTTTCAGCGAAGTCTCGCCAAAGTTCACCGCCGTGAGGAAAATCAAGAGAAGGACCCAGGCCACACTCCAGGTCACAGAGGTCACAGGGGGAACAGCCTTGCTCTCTTCCCCAGGCCTGTGTGGAGGGGATGAACCGAGGGCAGAGGAGGAAGCTGCTCTGGGAGCCCAGGACAAGGCAGGAAGCAAAGCTCGGGCTTGATCCGCGCGCTGTGGCCACGTAAGCCAGGCACTCAAACACTCCCAGGCAGCTTCCGAAAGACTGGAGCGCTCAGCTTCTTGAGGCTGGACACTGTGATATTTGAGTCTCTGCAGCCTCGGATCAGTAGTTTACCTTCTGATCTCTTTATGGCCTCTGCTGGGGGTTGTGGGGAAACCAGCAGGCTCTTATCTGAATTCAGCCCAACCGAGGGAGGGGGCTCTCCTCTCTCCACCCTTGCATCCAGCCTCCCTCCACAGCCGGCCAGGACGGCCTGTTCCTACAGCTAAGAAGCCTCTGTCTCTTCCCGACCCTGCACGCCTGCACCTCTGCCTGCCTGTCCCTCCCCAGGGTCAGTGCACTGTCCTCCAGGAAGGCATTCTGGATTTCATGCAGGCCCCCCTGGGCCCAATCCTCATCTTCTGTTCTGGACCTCTATGTCTGACTCTTAGATGGGAGGATTCCTGGGAGCAGTCACCTTCATCAATCTCTTTTTTTTTTTCTTTGAGACAGTCTCACTCTGTTGCCCAGGCTGGAGTGCAGTGGTGCAATCTCGGCTCACTGCAACCTCTGCCTCTCGGGTTCAAACAATTCTCCTGCTTCAGCCTCCCAAGTAGCTGCGATTACAGGCACGCACCACTGCACCCAGCTAATTTTTGTATTTTTAGTAGAGATGGGGTTTCTCCACATTGGCCAGGCTTGTCCTTACCTCAGGTGATCTGCCTGCCTCAGCCTCCCAAAGTACTGGGATTAAAGGTGCGAGCCCCTGCACCTGGTTGCCTCAATCAGTCTTTACCCTCAAACCTACAAGCCCTAGCCCTGGCTTCATCTACCGAGGTGCTGGCTGGATGATGTATCATTCATTGACCCGGGGTCGGTCAGGGCTGGCGGGGGGGCTGGGTGGAGGCAGAGGCATGCAAACTGGGAACTGTTTATTGGTCGCCGTGAGAAGCCAATATACAAAGAAGGCACGAGGCGGGGAGGGCATCCCCTGCTACAGTACCATGGAAGGGGCTGGGGCTGGGGAGCGGGCTGCCAACAGGCAGGGGTCAGGAGAGGTTTTCTGGAACTAGCCTCAGCTTCTGGAATGGGCGTTAGGACACGGCCCATGGGGGAGGGAGCAGAGCCAGGCTAGCTCTGAAAGCCAAGGACAGCTAAGTCCACCTCTAGGCCCCCAGCGCATGGTCAGTGGGGGCAGCATGGGGTCTGGCTGGCTGGGCACAGCAGGGCTCCCTGCCCGTTCTACATTCAAGTGTCACTCCCTCCGTGGTCTTGTAGGGTCTCTCTGGGTCCTTCTGAGGCTGGCTGATAGTGGTGAGTCAGAAGTGGCATCTCCTCTGTCGCCTTCCAACATCTGTTAGCCCAGAATCCGTCCCCTCGTCTCCGTGGAGGCTCCCACCATGCTCCCCAGGGTGTGAGGTCCAGGCTGCCTCGCAGTTTGCCTGTCTTTGTTCCTTCCGGCTGTATTCCCTGCGAGTTCAGTCTGTGGCCGAGGAGACAGGCTTCACAGAGATGCAGGAAAGAAAGCTGTTCTGGAAACCTTTTTCTAGTTCCTTGCTCTTAGGTCTGAGCATGCCAAGTCCTGCAAATGCCCCCATGGGCAACCTTAGGCAGGACCCCCAGCTCTCTGGCCTGGGTGTTTGGGGAGCCACCAACTGGGGATCCAGGGGGCTCTTCCCTGTCAGTAGTTTTGACAGCAAAGTCAATCTGGTGACTGGGTCTCAAGATGGATCCAGTGTGAAAGGGGGAGGTGTCACCATGCTGGGGGGCCTTTTCCTCCTGGCTCTGGCTGAGGCCCTGTGGCTTGGTTTTGGCTCGGTTTTGGTGCAGGCAGAGGCTGGGACACGGTGAGCCCACGCACCATCAGTGATGCACCAGCATGGTCCATGTGCAGTGGGGCCCCACGTGCGTCTAGGGCACAGGACCGCAGCGTGCTTGGCGTTGTGAGGTCCATAGTGCTGGCCCCCCTTTGGGGAGATGCTCGTGGCCAGACGGCATGTGCCTGCGCTGATGACCTGGATGTGCCTGAGCCTGCTGGTGCCAGCCTAAGGCAGCGGCGGCCCCTATGGACTGTCAGAGGCATAACTTAGGATAAATAGGAAGAAAGCAGACACTGGGGCCAGGCACAGTGGCTCACACCTGTAATCCCAGCACTTTGGGAGGCCGAGGCAGGCGGATCACAAGGTCAGGAGTTCGAGACCAGCCTGGTCTAAATGGTGAAACCTTGTCTCTACTCAAGATACAAAAAAATTAGCCGGGCGTGGTGGCGAGCACCTGTAATCCCAGCTACTTGGGAGGCTGAGGCAGGAGAATCGCTTGAACCCGGGAGGCAGAGATTGAAGTGAGCTGAGATGGTGCCATTGCACTCCCGCCTGGGTGACAGGGTGAGACTGTCTCAAAAAAAAAAAAAAAAAAAAAAAAAAAAAAAAAAAAAGATTCTGGCGTGGGAGGGGCTGGGATCTGGGATCAGGGAAGACATCAGTAGTAAAGGTCCCGAGTCTGCCAGCTGGTCACCCAGTGCTTCTTAGTGGGCGGGGTGCTCCCTGGAGGCGGGTAGCGCTCCTCCTCACGGATCCGCACCGCGTAGTACTTGGGCATGATCTGGTAATAGCGGGTCCGCTTAAAGAAGTCACACTGGAGTTGGAGGGAGAAGAGAAAGGACATCAGCATCCGGAGTTGGAGGCCGCCGGGCGGCAGTGCCTGGCCTCTCCCTCTCCCCCACAGAGATCCTCAAAGCCAGAACTCTTCACTGAAACACATCCCATCTCCCTGCACTGAGAGATGGAGGATGAGTTTCCCCACCCCAGGCCCAAGAAGAAGGAGGAGCTGAGGAAGGCAGAGAGGAGAGGAAGAGGCAGATGGAGACCGAGGGCAGCTGCAGAGACAGTGGGCAGGATAGCCAGGGCAGGGCAGTCCACCCTGACCAGCACGTTGGGAGTGGGTCCATCGCTATCCTGGAAGGGCTGCTCAGGAGGAAACGTGCTAGTTCCCAGGAGGAGGGGCTCTACTGCTCCCCTCCTTCTCTAGGGCTGGAAATGGAGTGAAGAATTCTTCTGGACATGCTTGTGGTTTACAGAGATGGGGCCTGGCCTTGCCCTTGACCTTGTTCCAATCCCCAGAAAGCAAAGTCATCATGGAGAGGGTTTTATGGCTCCCTCATGGGGTCCCAAGTCACCGAGGGGCTCGGGGAGGCTGATGAAAGCCAGACCAGAGGGCTGCATGGGAGTCAGAGTGGCTTGATCTTTGAGGTGGTGGTGTGGACAGAATGAGGCCAGAGCAGCCCCATAAAGGAAGAGGAGCAGATAGGACAGAGTCAGAGGCCTGGCCAGCTGTGGGGCTCGGGGAAGGGGGCCCGGAGGCCGTTACCCGGGTGGGCCGGGGGCAGGGGCTGCCCCCTCAGTAGTCGTCGGTCAGCCTCTCTGTCTCTGACGGTTGGCTCTTCATCTCCGCTTTCTGCCTCTTAGCTTCATACAGGGCGCGAGTGCGGGCTCGCTTGAAGAAGCCGCACTGAGGAGGGGAGGAGGTGGGGACGGGACATCAGGGGGGCGCTGGGCTGTCCTCACCAGCACGCGTGGATCAGGGCTGAGGGCTGGGGAGCCTGGGGGCTGGGGCTCAGTCCCAGCTTGGTGATGTGGTCAGATGCCAGAGCTCCTGGGTCTCCCTTTCCAGCTTGCAGCTCCCCCCACTAACCCAGGCCTCGGGGTGAGCCTGAAAGCTGGGGGAGAAGGTGGAGAGGAAAGGGAGGAGGGGCTGCGGTGCAATGGAAGGGAAGACCAGGATGGGGCGGCCTGGGCTGGAGGAAGGGCTGGTGAGTGTGCTGGTAGAGGTCCGGGAGTGGGAGTCGGGGGGCTGGGCTCCTAACCTTCCACAGCAGGAGGATAATCAGCCCCAGCAGCAGCAGCCCCGCACCCACGGCCACCAGCACCAGCCACAGCTCGATCTCAGCCGGCAGCTCCTCCACCAGCTCCGAGTCAATGTCCACAGAGAACTGGAGTGGCGAGAGGTGGACTCAGCCCTGTGTCTGCCGGCTTAGGCCCTTCCTCACCCTTCCTATCGCCAGCTGGGCCAGGGCACCTGCCGTTTGTCCTACTGCCAGTAGGGGGCAGCCTGGGGCCGGAAAAAGCCCCTGTCGGCCCCACCGAGAGCAGGTCCAGGGGTCCTTCCTGCTTCTCCCAGGCAAAGACCTGGCTCCAGAGGAGCAGCCTCAGATCGGGGAGGTGGCCTGGAATCTGGGTCTGTGACCGACACATCTGGGGCTGGGTACCAGCTCCATCCCTGACGAGCTGTGTGACCATGGACAAGTAATTGCACCCCTCTGAATCTCATGCTTTCTGCTTTCTGATGGGGGGTGATCATAATGCCTACCGCACAGAATAGCAGAACGGCCAAAAGCAGGGGTTCTGGAGCCAGACTACCTGGGTTCCAACCCAGCTTTGCTATTCACTAGCTGTGTGGCCTTGGCAAGTTACTTAACCTCTCTGTTGTTCATCTGTAAAATGGGAATAATACCTATCTCATAGGTTGCTGGGGAGAATTAAGTGTGTTTAATATAAGAAAACTGCTTAGAGCAACACCTACCACACAGCAAGCACTCCATAAATATTCACAAAAAAACCACAAGGAATTCATAGCATATAGTCCCTCCCCGCCCCCCTCCCCCCTTTTTTTTTTGAGATGGAGTCTCGGTCTGTCACCCAGGTTGGAGTGCAATAGCATGATCTCAGTTCACTACAACCTCCGCCTCCTGGGCTCAAGTGATTATCCTGCCTCAGCCTCCCGAGTAGCTAGGATTACGGGCATGTACCACCATGCCCAGCTAATTTTCTATTTTTTAGTAGACTGGGTTCTCCATGCTGGCCAGGCTGGTCTCGAACTCCCAACCTCAGCCTCCTGAAGTGCTAGGATTACAGGCTTGAGCCACCGTGCCTGGCCAATAATCTCATTCTTTTTCTTCCCCTACAATGGAGATAAATATGGATGTGTGTGTGTGTATATGAGTTTTGTTTTTTGGGTTCTTTTTTTGAAACAGAGTTTTGCTCTGTCACTTAGGCTGGAGCGCAGTGGCGAGATCTCAGCTTACCGCAACCACTGCCTCCTAGGTTCAAGCAATTCTCCTGCTGCAGCCTTCTAAGTAGCTAGAATTACAGGGATGCACCACTATGCCCGGCTAATTTTTGTATTTTTAGTAGAGATGGGGTTTCACCATATTGGCCAGGCTGGTCTTGAACTGCTGACCTCATGATCCATCTGTCTTGGTCTTCCAAAGTGCTGGGATTACAGGTGTGAGCCACTGTGCCCAGCCATGTTTTTTCTGACCATACATGATTTTCACTTCTTTTAAAATTATTTTGATGATTTTTTAAAAAATACAGATGACATAAAGAAAACTAAACATTCCAAGTAATATATTATATATATCTGTGTGTGTGTGTATATATATATATATATATATATATATATGTATACATACATACATACACATACGTATATTTTCGAGATGGAGTTCCATTCTGTTGCCCAGGCTGGAGTGCAGTGGCACAATTTCGGCTCACTGCAACCTCCACCTCCTGGGCTCAAGCAATTCTCCTGCCTCAGCCTCCTGAGTAGCTAAGATTACAGGTGCTCAGAACCACATCTGGCTAATTTTTGTATTTTTACTAGAGACAGGGGTTTCAGCATGTTGACCAGGTTGGTCTTGAACTCCCAACCTCAAGTCATCTACCCACCCTGGCCTTCCAAAGTGCTAGGATTACAGTCGTGAGCCACCGTGCCCAGCTGTTTCCTAGTAATTTTAATCTCTAGAAATTACTATCTCTGTAATCTCTGGTAAATCTCTTTCCATATTTTAAAATATGGAATATTAATATGGTCTATGTAAATGGGATCATGTCACATACACTCTTCAGCAACCCGTTTCTTTTCAAGACAGGGTCTCACTGTGTTGCTCAGCCTCGAGTGCAGTGACACAAACATGTCACTGGAGACTCCACCTCCTGGGCTCAAGCGATTCTCCTGCCTCAGCCTCCAGTATAGCTGAGACCATGTACCACCACATCCAGATAATTTCTTGATTTTTTTTTTTTTTTTTGTAAAGATGGGTCTCACTTTTTGCCCAGGATAGCCTCAAACTCCTAAGCTCAATCAATCCTCCTACCTCGGCCTCCCAAAGTATTAGGATTATAGGCACGAGCCACCATGCCCAGCCAGCAACCTTTCCATGTCAATTGTTAAAGATCAACTTAATTTCTCCTGAGGACTGCACAGTCATCGAAGGAAATGTACCATAATTTATTGACCCAATCTCCTACTGAAAGGCTTTTAGATTGTTTCTAATTTTCTGCCATTATAAATAATTCTTGAAATCCCCATACATTTATCTTTGTATACTTGTCCTATTAGCTCCTTACAATATATTCTCATGTGCTAGATCTAAGGAAATGGGCACTCTAAATTTTAATACATATTGAAAACTTCATCTCCTAAAAGAATCTACCAATTTATCATCCAAATCAATAGCATTTCCCTCCGCCTCATCAGCGTTAGACAGCATTATAAATTTTTTTTTTTTTTTTTTGAGACATAGTTTTACTCTATAGCCCAGACTGGAGTGCAGTGGCATAATCTAAGCTTACTACAATACCCATCTCCTAGGTTCAAGCAATTCTCCTGCCTCAGTCTCCTCAGTAGCTAGGATTACAGGCATTTACCACCACGTCCAGCTAATTTCTGTGTGTTTTGTTTTTTGTTTTTTTTTTTTGAGACGGAGTTTTGCTCTTGTTACCCAGGCTGGAGTGCAATGGCGCGATCTCGGCTCACCGCAACCTCCGCCTCCTGGGTTCAGGCAATTCTCCTGCCTCAGCCTCCTGAGTAGCTGGGATTACAGGCACGCGCCACCATGCCCGGCTAATTTTTTGTGTTTTTAGTAGAGACGGGGTTTCACCATGTTGACCAGGATGGTCTCGATCTCTTGACCTCGTGATCCACCCGCCTCGGCCTCCCAAAGTGCTGGGATTACAGGCTTGAGCCACCGCGCCCAGCCAATTTCTGTGTTTTTATTAGAATGATGTTTTGCTATGTTGCCCAGGCTAGTCTCAGACTGACCTCAGAAGATCCGCCCGCCTTGGCCTCCCAAAGTGCTGGGATAACAGATGTGAGCCACTGCACCTGGCCAGCATTATTTTTTTTTTAATAGTGCTGGCAAGAAAAATCTTGTTGCTATGATTTCTATTTTTTTATGAGCAAGATAAACATTTGTATTTCACCCTATGTACACTGCCTATTAATATCCTTTATATATTAAAAAATACATATCAGCTGGGCGCGGTGGCTCAAGACTGTAATGCCAGCACTTCGGTAGGCCGAGGCGTGTGGATCACGAGATCAAGAGATCGAGACCATCCTGGTCAACATGGTGAAACCCTGTCTGTACTAAAAATACAAAGAATTAGCTGGGCATGGTGGCTCGTGCCTGTAATCCCAGCTACTCAGGAGGCTGAGGCAGGAGAATTGCCTGAACCCAGGAGGCGGAGGTTGCAGTGAGCCGAGATCGTGCCATTGCACTCCAGCCTGGGTAACAAGAGCGAAACTCTGTCTCAAAAATAAATAAATAAATACATAATAATACATATTGATATTTTGTCACATACGCTGTCAACATTTTTAAAAAGCAGTATATCATTTACCCTTTTAGTTTTTGTTTTTGTTTTGTAACAAAGTCTCACTCTGTCACCCAGGCTGGAGTACAGTGGCACAATCACGGCTCACTGCAGCCTCAGCCTCCTGAGCTCAAGCGATTCTTCTGCCTTAGCATGCTAAGTAGCTGGGACTACAGGTGTGCACTACCACACCCGGCTAATTTTTGTATTTATCTGTAGACATAAGGCTGGGCTCAAGCAATCTGCCTGTCTCAGTCTCCAAAGTTCTGGGATTACAAGCGGGAACCACCAGGCTCAGCTCCTTTCAGTTTCTTTACTCTTTTGCTGTGTACAGATTTAAATGTTCACAGTCTAATTTATCACATTTTTTCTTTGTGACTTCTGGCTTTATAACTCACTCTTCCCATACTTAAAGATTACTGTTAAAATCCTATATTATATTCTGGCATGTTCATTTTAATTGCTACATTTAAATATTTAATCTAGCTCTATTCTTGTTTACGGTGTGAGGCAGAGGTTTGTCTTTATTTTCCAAATGTGTTCTCCTAACACTACTTAATAATCTACCTTTCTCCACGGATTAAAAAGGTCATCTGTTTCATAAAGTTCCATTTTGTTCCACTGATCTTTCTGGCCCTTCTTCCCCCTCTTCTACACTACATTAATTTATCTTAGGAAATGTACAATAACGTATATAACCAACCCTGCATTCGGCTCCCTATACGTATCTCCCACGGATCTTCACTTACATCCTTTTCACCATGAATTATTAGCAATTTTATCATATGTATTCTTCTAGATGCAACTCAGAATCAAGTTTGGGAACTTCTTTTTCAAGCTTCCTGAATTCTACTGAGACTGGCCTAATGTGGGTGCGAAGATCTGACAACTTGATAATATTGACTTTTTTCTAACCATTACTCAAGATTTTTTGTTGCACATTTCTTGTTATATTTATTCCTAGCGGCTCTATCACTTTTCTGACGAATTTGCATGGGATCTTTGCAACTATATGATTGGTTATCGCTAGCATGTAAGAAATCGAGGGGGTTGGGTACTTTGATCTTGTTTTGACCTCTTGGACTTCCTGAATTCTCTTTTTGGGTCTAGTCAGTTTTTGGGCCAGGTGTGGTAGCTAATACCTGTAGTCTCAGTGCTTTGGGAGGCTGAGGTGGGAGGGCTACTTGAGACCAGGAGTTTAAGACCAGCCTGAGCAACACAGTGAGACGTCATCTCTACTAAAAATAAAAAATTAGCTGGGCATCGTGGCACATGGCTGTAGTCTCAGCTACTCAGGAGGCTGAGGTGGGAGGCTTTCTTGAGCCCAGGAGCTCCAGGCTGCAGTGACCTATGATCACACCACTGCATTCCAGCTGGGGCAACAGAGTGACACCCTGTCTCTGAAGCAAAATAAAATAAAAATAATAGCTTTTCCATGGCTTCTTTTTTCTGTTAAGTAGACGAGGACATCGTCTGCCAATACTGAACAGGTTCTCATAGCTGACCCTCTGTTCTGCCTTGTTATCCTGCCTTTCTCTCTATATATATATTGCCTGTGGCCAGAAGCTCATGTGTCCATGGTGGATGTGACAATGGTGAGATAATCAGGAGGCCCATGTTCCAGCCCCTGACAAGCTGTGCCACTTTGGGAGGCCACTCACATCTCTCTAGGCCTCAGTTTCTCAGCCATAAAATAGAGAGGTGATCCCAGCCCTACTCTTCATGAAGACACTGTGCAGATCACAGAAGCGAATACAGTGCTTCTCAGCCCTGGTTGCACATTAGCAGCACTTGGGGGACTTTAAACACAGCAATACCGGAATCCACTCCCAGGGACTTGGGTTTAATTGCTCTGGGTGCGGTCCCGACACCAGAACTCCTCCCGATGACTCCTATCGTGCTGCCAAGATTGAGAACCACAGGGCTGAAGTGTGTCAATGTGCTCTTAAAAGACGCCTGGCTCTCCCAAGCTCTAGCTGGAGACTGCTGTCCTCGTGAACATGTCACTCACCCACGTGGTCTTGTTCTCCATGTTGATGGTGGGGACGCTGGTTCGGAGGAACAGGGTAGCCCCGCCATTTACCCGTACTCTGTCAAAGTCTCTGTAATCCTGGATGGGGAGGGGGTGGGTCAAGACGAACATTTGACACTCCTCTGAGCCTCCCTCCGACCCTAAGCACCTCTACCCCATCACCCACCCACCATGCAGCATCCTTAAACAGCACCCCAAAGGATCTGTCAGCCAGGCCTCCCCTCCGCATACAAATGCACATCATTCATTCATTTGTTCATTCATTTGTGCGTCAGGTCCTGTGCTGGATGCTGGGGACAGCCGAGACAATGAAGGTCATGGTCTAGGTCAGGCCCGTGGGCTGAATCTGGCCCAGCACCTGCTTTTGTGAATGAAGTGTTTTTGGCACACAGCCACACCCATTCATTTGTATGGCTGTTTTTGCGCTGCAATGGCAGAACTGAGTAGTGGCAACAGAAACTCTATGGCCTGCAAAGCTGAAGATTTCTAATCCAGTCACGCGGAGAAAAAGTTTGGTCTAGACAGCATGAGAAAGTTGGCACGTGAGTCATTGCAACCCAGAGTCGAGTGTGATAAAGGCACATGTGGCTTCTGAGAAAGTTAGGTGGGTGTCCTTTGGAAGAGAGGTCGTTTTCAGCTGGAAGAGCCAGAAAAGACCTCACTGATGGAAAGCATCTGACAGAGACCTTGAAAGCCAAGTAGGAGTTTACATGCAGAGACGGCAGAGGGGACACGGGCATTCCAGGGTGAAGGAATAGCCTGGGGAAAGGCACAGAGGTGGGAAGTAATGGATGCATAATGGACACAAGAGCGGTCATTTTGGCTGGAGACCAACACGGACACATCCATGCAGCCCTGCTCTCACACACAGCCCTGCTATGACCCTGGTCCTCCCCACCGGGATGGGGGGGGGGGAGACCTTGAGACCCAGGCACTGACCTCGATGAAGGTGCTGTTCCACACTCGTGCCTTCACGGTCACGTTGGTGACAATGGGGGCATCAGGGATGGGGCACTCCAGCCACACACAGCGGGCACGGCCAGTGGCACAGGTCTGAGGAGGGCAGGGAACGCAAGGCGTGACACGGTCTGGGCCTCCAGATTCCTCATGCTGTGCTCCTTACCTGCCACCCTCCCAGGCTTTGTCTCACCCCTGGGTGACCCAAAGGGGCCTGACATCCTTTCACTCACGCACACGTCCCCCACCTCACAGTTATGATTTTCAGACACAGTCTTTGAGCAAAGTTCATATAATGCCAGGCAGATGGATAACATGGAATCTGGCCCCTGCACATGTAAACAGGACCCAACCTCCTGCACCCACTTCCCTGCCGGCTTCCTGCCCCTGGGACCCCACTCCCCACTCTCTACCCAGCTGGGCTTCAACCTCCTTGCCAGGCCAGCTCTCCTCTCCCCACCCGCAGCAGGTGCGCACACCACCCACAACACCCTGCCCCACACTGCCTCCTGCCGCCAAGGCTCTGAGCAGCTCTATCGTCCCCAGCTTTAGCCAGGGTCTCCTCCTCTGGTCCCTTGTCTTCGACGCTCCCCCGTCAGAGTGAAGCACCCTCCGAGGGCAGGAGGTGAGGCTCCCTACTGTGTGTGGAGGCTCCCAAGGGCAGAGGTCTCATCACCTCATCACACTGAGGTCTCCCTTGCTTTGTGTGCCCCTGGTGCCCAGGCACCCTGTGATGGGGTGGGTGCAGTCCCTTCCAACCCCACCCTGGCCACTCACCAGCACAGTCTCAGACTTGGCTTTTTTGGCAGCAGCCAGAGTGACAGGTGGGGGGCCCTGGCCTCCCCCTGGATCCAGCTGTCGCCGCCTGCGCTGTGGAGATGACGGCCTGTCCCCAGAGTCCTGGAGAGGAAAGAGGAGATTTGCTGGCAGGGCAGAGGAAGAATTGGGAGAAGGGTTGCCAGAGGGGAAAGGTGGGGAGAGACAGGTTGCCAGAGGGGTATGAGGGGAGGGAGGGGAAAGACACTGGCCCCTTCTGCCCTGCAGCATGCAAATGAGATGCAAATGAAATATTCCTGATGGTGTCCTTACAGAAAGGGTGAGGTTGAGAGGGTTGACAAGGTCTCCAGGTGGTTGGCAGGGCCAGGACCCATTGCCATGGATGGTGATCTCCGTGGGGTACAGCAGCCACTTGCCATTGCTGACTTCGTAGGGCCACTCCAGACCCAGGACCAGGGTCCCCAGGCCCACCAGCCCCTCCCCCATTGGGCCCACCTGTGGGCACAAGATGTGTCATGGTCATTCTCCCCTGGAAAACCACCTCCATCTTACCAACCCCCAACCCTCCCACCTTCAGACCTCGGAAAAAAAAAAAAACCACAGCCCAGGACCCCAGAGAGCCCCTTACCTGGAATTCATACTTGAGGGGGCTTCCCACATCCTCCACAGTTTTCATGCCAGACTCGCCCATCACTGTCCCCCCAAAGAAGCTTTGTAGCCGGTGATTTACCCTAAGGGTAAGAAGGATGCTGGAGTCATGGGGGACAGGAGACCAGGGCCCTGGCAGAAGGGGTGGGCATGAAAACTGGTTAACTATGGCCCCTCTGACATCAGGCACCTCAGTAGAAACCCCAGCTCTGCCATTTACCAGCTGTATGGACTCAAGCAAGCTATTTATCCTCCCTAAGCCTCGGTCTCCTCATCTGTAAAACGGACTTAATTATGGCTGTTGTGCCACAGGGCTGCTGTGAGAAGTCATTGAGACGATGTATATAAAACCCTTAACACGGCCGGGCGCGGTGGCTCAAGCTTGTAATCCCAGCACTTTGGGAGGCCGAGGCGGGTGGATCACGAGGTCGAGAGATGGAGACCATCCTGGTCAACATGGTGAAACCCCGTCTCTACTAAAAATACAAAAAATTAGCTGGGCATGGTGGCACGTGCCTGTAATCCCAGCTACTCAGGAGGCTGAGGCAGGAGAATTGCCTGAACCCAGGAGGCGGAGGTTGCGGTGAGCCGAGATCGCGCCATTGCACTCCAGCCTGGGTAACCAGAGCGAAACTCCGTCTCAAAAAAAATAACACAATGAGCTCTTATAAAATGGGAGGGAAAACACCTTGGCCCCCAGGTTGCTGATTCCTCCACTTCTGCCTGCTTAGAGGGGGAATAATCATAGTAACAATAATAATAGTGACTGGTGTTGTTAAGGAAGGGATGACCCAGGGGAGGTAGAGGCCTGAGGACACTGGGCCAAGAGAGGTGTCAGAGGAGCTTGGAAGGTACCTTGGGGATAGGGAACCCCTAGCTCAGGCACAGAGGCTGGGGTGGGGGGGTGTGGAGAGTGGTACCCACATGCTGAGCGAGGTCTGGAGTGTATAGTCCACCAGCAGAGTCAGGGTCATGGGCTGCAGGTTGTCCTGGTGACTTGACCTTGGAAGGAAATGCAGGGGGTAGGAAGGTGATCCAGGACACCTCAGCCCTGACCCAGACTGGCTTCTCGAGGTCACTCACGTGGAGAGCTGCAGCTGCACCTGAAGGTCCCTTGTGTGCAGGGTCACCCCAGTGACCTCAAAGGCGATGAGCAGCTCCATCTGCCAAAAGAGTCGGGGAGGCAGAGAGTGGCATTTGGGGCCCGGTGGGGTGACATCATGGGGAAGGAGGGCTCCTGCACACTATTCTAGTTGGCTTTCTGGCCTTCTCCTCCTCCTCCTGTTCTGGGTGAGGGGTCTCCACTTCCCTATCTCACCTCTGTCTCCCTTTTCCCTTTTCCTCCGTGGGGGTCACAGCTCTGCTACTTTTGAGCTACACAGCCTTGAGCAGGTCACTGAAACTTTCTAAGTGTGTGTTTCCTCTTCTGTAAAAGAGCATCTACCTCCACAGAAGGCTGTGAGGATGATACCACAGAAGCACCGTGCTGAGCTCGGGCTGGCGCACAGTTGATGCTTGGTAAAACTGGTTTCCTCCCGCTCATCTGCTCTAGCTTTGTGCACAGCTCCCTAGCAGCCCCATTTGTCTCAGTTTCTGGGCCTCTTCTCACCCTCTAGTGGGTCTCCCCTCCCTCACTGTGGCTCTCCACTTAGAGGGGGCCCGGCAAGCAGGCAGGTAGAAGGACAAGGAGCTCATCACAGGGGACCCAGGAGGGCTAGGAGGATGTGGCCAGTGCTCACCCTCTGGTTGCGTTTGAAGGGGTTCCCCAGCTCACAAAAGATGGTCTCATTATCTTGGCAGGCCCCAGGCTGAGGAAAGAAGGAGAATAATTCGGTCAGGGTCGGGTCAAAGTAGGGCTTGTTCTCCCTCCTCTGTGGTGCAGGGTCAGAAGCCCTAGAGCTTGAGAACCGGGTTCTCCAAGCAGCAAAGACGCTAAGGCCCCCAAGGAGGCCCAGACCAGAGGAGGGGGGCACGTGGCAGATGACAACACCTGTACAGGACATGCATACGGGGATGCAAAGCGGCGGTGGAACCCTGCTTGGGCTCTGAGCCGGCCAGCGGGCACTCACGGGGCGCACTGAGGACAGCAGCAGGGCGGGAGGCACCACCAGGGTGAGCAGCGCCTCGTGGGCATCCTCCCCGATGCGATCCGAGGTCCGGGGGTTCGTCACGTTGATGCTCAGGAGCAGTTTCCGGACGTCTCTGCTATACTGGAGCCTGAGAGCAGGAGCCCAGGACTCAGCCAAAAGCCCCGTCCCCGGGGCCCTCCAGGATCAACTAGGCCCCGCCCCTGGGGTCTCCTAGGTGAGAGAAGCCCCTTCTCAGGACAGCCAGACCCCGCCCTCTAGTCTTACCTGAAAAGAAAGCCCCTTTTCTGACCACCCGATCTGTCCCGCTAAAGCTCCCGCCCCTCGGGTTTGCCTTGGCATGAGGCTCCGCCCCCACCATGCCAGTCAAGGAAGCCCCGCCCCACCCTTGGCTACCTGCTCAGCTTCCGCAGCTGCTCCGACACGAAGGCTGCCCGCATCTGCAAGTTACTCTCACACTTGTTGTCAGGCCCACACTCCTTCTGGAACTGGATCTGGGGGTAGCCGGAGGTGTGAGGGTCACACCTCACCCAGTGCCCAATTGCTCCACCGCCCTCCTGGTCCCTGGTCTTCCAGTCCAGGCCCCGGCCCCACCCACCTCAGTGTGGTTCTCCAGAGACTGTGCCTCGTTGAGGATGGGGTAGGCGTCCAGGGACCGCAGCCCCAGTCGAGGGCGATCGGGCATCCGCAAAGGTAAAGAGTAGTTCATGGAGATGATGATGGGCCGGAGTTTGTCACGGAGGTTGTCCTGGGGAGAGAGGGCGAGCTGAGCCCAGCCCTGCACTGCTCCCTGCCCCAGCTGAATCCTCACACCACCCTGAACTCCAGAGAAGAGCTGGGGCCCCCTCCACCCTGAAAACCTGACAGGCTGAACTCCCTCTAGTCTGATCGCCATATTGCAACTTCTACCCTCCTGACCCTTCAAGAGGAAAGACAGGGCTTCTCCTCCTCAAAGGCCCCTTCACCTCCTCATCCACGGGGCCCCCTGGCTGAGCTCCTTCTACCCTGATGTCCCAGAGAGGGACTGAGCTTACCCCCACTCAGGGACCCCTTTTCCCAGAGATGGGCTGAGCCATGAGCTCCCATACCCCTCACTTTTCTTGGAGGTAATAAGCCCTTTGGCGCTATCCCCATCCCAAGGGTCTCCATCTTTCCTCATGTGTGGGCGCTGTGCACTGTACCCCTAAAGACCGATAGCCTTCCAAACCGACGTCCCCAACGTGTCTCTGGGGAGACCCCTGTCCCTCACCCTTGATCTAGGGGGACACTGGTCACCTCCTCCAGGAGCCCAGGAGCCCTCATCCTGCCCCTTGTTCCTCCCTCACCATCAGGAGCAGCTCCAGCTTCTGGCAGCGCATCTCGGGCATGGAGAAGAAGCCATGGAAGACAGCGGACTCACTGCCGGCAAAACGGAGCCGGGGTGGGCGGCGGTCCCTGTCGGCCTCCAGAGTGTAGGCCAGGGCTACAGGTAGACAGGGTGGTCAGCAAGGGGCCAGGGAAGCGTGCCCCTTTCACCCTGCACCCCAGCACTCACTGATGTTTCGCCTGTAGTTGGGGTTCCCAGCACTCTGGTTGTAGGCGAAGCATAGCTCCACTTGCACACTGTTGGAGGGATGTACAGGAGGGCCGGGTCACAGGGGGACACACACACCCAGGCCCTAGCTCTCGCCTCTGTACTGGGCAAAAGGAAACTGAGGCCCTTCTGGAGAGAGGCAGGGACAAAACTGGGGAGTCCCCAAAGTGGGTCTGTGGTGCCCCTGGCCCCCTTCCCTTCCACTCCCCTTAGAGCCAAAGAAAATAGGATTAGAGGTCACCAGTGGGGAAACTGAGGCCCAGGGCCCAGAAGGACTTGTCTGAAGTCCGCAGTCCATTGGTGGCCCAGCCCAGTCCTGAACCCAGGCAGCAATCCCCAGTCCAGATCCTGCATCACTCACCCCGTTTCCCTGCTCTGTCTGCCTTTGCCTTCTGATCCAAAATCCTCATTCACATAGACCTTGAAGTTATCACCATCAGTACTGTCACTTTCTTAGCAACTGACATGGTTTGAGCACTTAGGGTATACAGAGTGCTGTGCTAAGGACTTTTTGTATATTATCTCATTTAATTATCACAGCCCTGTGAATTGGTTATTACCAATTCTGTTTTACAAGCAAGAAATCTGAGCCTCAGAGGGATTAATAATTTGCCCGAGGAGACTCTCCTCCATATCCATCCACTTAAATGCGTCCCTTTTCCCCTTCCTCTGGGACTTCAGTCCCCAGAGCCTATCCCTGCACTGGCATAGCTGGGATTTGAACCAGGCAGTCCAGAGCTCCCACTTTCAATCACTATACTCTACTGACCCCCAATTCATCCATCACCTCTTGCAAGGAATTTTGCTTTTTAATGAGGTTGGGTAGAGAGGTCAAATGCTGGCCCCAAGAATCAAATTTCTAAAGGTGGGATGACAGGAGGCCAGGGGAGGGGTTTGGGAGCTGGGGCCCCTCCTGGCCTACTGGAATGAGGAGTAGGTGGGCAGAGCAATCTCACCAGGAGGTGGGTGTGCAAACCGCAGGGTCCAGCACAGCTGGCCTGGCCACTAAGGTCTTGTAGACGATGTTGATGACGGGCCGAGCCCTGCAGAGACAACAGAGCCAGACAGGTATCAGTGCCTCCTGCCTGCTCAGGCCAGAGCTGGGGCCCAGGCTTCCAAGGAGCTGAAGCAAACATGGACAGAGATGAGACTCTGTGCAGACAGACATGAAGAAGAGAACGACCCCTGTTCACTGGCCTCCTGGCTCACCGCAGCAGCACAATGCGGTCTGACAGGCTTCCCACTAGAAGGTCTGGGTAGAAGTTCTCGTCCACATCCATCTGCCCACTGAGGGAGTAGCCGAAGGTGGCCAAGCCAGGCAGTCCCAGCTTCTCTCCGTGGATTACCTGGGGGCAGGGGAAAGTGGTGGGGACGGGGACAGGCTCTGGGGAGCAGGGCCCAAGGGGCTACAGGGAAGGGGTAGGTGAAGGAAAGCAAGGAAGGCCCATCTCGGCTGGTGGGGGCAGCAGACCCATCTCTGTCTCTGTACCTGCTGGGGCTGTCTCAGGAGCCCCTGGGAGCTACTGTGGTAGATGTACACTTTGCCCAAGCCTTCAAACGGGGCTCCCACGGCAATATCTGCAGAAGACAGGCAGGACAAGGTCACCCAGGTACTCTGGGCCCCACATCTCCCTAACTCTGTGCTCCAGGCCATAGAGCCCAGCACAGAATTGATCTTACCCTGATGGGCAGCACTCAGAGCATCAGGGACAGGGTAGAGCTCTGCAGCTCAGGATGAAGACTGGGATGGAGCCCAGCTTCCTCCTATCAGGAGTGGGAAAGTAGCTTCAGGAGATGGAGGTGACTTGGTGTCTCTACCAGGTACTTGTCAAACATTTAGAGTGTGTGTGTGTGTGTAGACAGTGTGTCGCTCTGTCACTCGGGCTGGAGTGCAGTGGCATGGTCACAGCTCACTGCAGCCTCAACCTCCTGGATTCAAGCGATCCTCCCACCTCAGCCTCCCAAGTAGCTGGGACAGCATACACCACCATGCCCAGCTATTTATTTCATTTAATTTTCAGAGACAGCTGTGGGGTGGGTACTACTGTCCCCCACTTTATAGACGAGGAGTGTTCCAAAAACCGAGAGTTTCACAACTAATAAGTGTAGAGAAGAGAAAACAAGCCCAGGTCTGTCTCACTCCGGGGGCTGGGACTTGAACTACAGTGGACTTTACTGAAAGCGGCAAGGCTTTTAAAATCCTAATCATGATCTCCACAAATCATCTCCACAAAGAAACCCCAAGTATTTGGTTATCTTCTAAAGCTGAACTCTTTCCAGTTTGCAGCTTTTGATCGGATGAGGCCTAAGGAATTAGCAAGCCAAGCTTGTTAGTAAGGCCTGTAAAGGAAGCGGAAGCAGGTCCCAGGCAGAAACCGAATACTTCCACAGTGCACGGTTGGCCTCTGTTGACTGAACTTTCTGGCACCTATTTTGGCTCTTCGGAGGCTCCTTTGCCTTCCTCTTGGTTCTCAGCTATGTCCTGGGAAACTCAGGTTGTCAGAGAAGTGACTTTCAGATAAGCCAGGTGCCCCTATGGCACTGACTCCAGCCCTGGGTCTGCCCCTGTCCCTGATACCCCAGGTCTGATTGGTCCCCAAGTCCTGCAGAATACTTATGAGGACCCTATGTCCAGGGCTCCCACCTGATACTACATTCTTGATCTTAACTCCCCTCGCCTTGCTCCACCCTTGCACTCGCTCATCCCATACTTCTTCCAGAATCATCCTTCAAGGTACAAAGTTATTTCATCACTTCCCTGCTCTAAAACTTTCTCTGGATGCCCCCACCACCCCACCACCACCATTACCCAAATAAAAATCCCTAAGATAGTCCACCTGGCTTTCAGAGCATCCACCCCCACCCACTCCCTCTCCAGCCTCCTCTCTGGTGGAAACACTCCACACCCGCTAGATTTGGGCACACCAGGCTAGTTTCCATGCCGGTGTTGTGCCTCATCAGTGCTCTACTGCGCACTCTCAGCCCAGCCTTGGCTGCACAGCAGCATGCAAGCTCCTCCAGGAGGCCCACCGAGCTTGCCTCTGCTGCTCCCTCTGCACATCTGCACATCCTATCTCTAGTACTGCTGCGAGCTCCCCAGGTGTGGCCCCATCTTGCCTCATTTGCGGGCCCTGTCAAGCCTGGTATGCAGCTGGCACTCAGTCAGTAGGGGGACTGGGGGAGGGGTGCTGGCTCATACCCTGAAATCCATCCTGGTTGATGTCACCAATGCTGGCCACGGAGAAGCCGAAGGCAGAGCCACTGGGGCCATGAAGAAGGAGGGAGGGGTGAGCAGGGAAGGAGGTTCCTGCCTGGTTCATGAAGACATAGATGGCACCCCCTACCTCCTCTTTCCTCTCAAAGTAGTGGGGGGCGCCCACCAGAAGGTCCTGCCACCTGCACAGGAGAGAAAAAGAGGGAAATGGGAATGTGAGGTCGGCCTCCAATACGCAGCATAGTTCTTGTTTGACAGGCGTGACTGTGCCAGGGCACAGCGCTCTGCAAATGGCTCTTCTGGCCATAGGTCATGGGTGGGAAGGACATGGAAATGCCAACAAGACCCACCAAATAGGAGACATATGTCATGGAGAAGCCACGCAGGCACAGATCACACCCAAACAATCCACACCCCTGGAACCATACAAACGACAAGCAGAAACAAGCAAATGCTTGGGTCACACAAACACCATATGCAAACGCCCAGACTCCCATACAGCCTGATGGCAAACCCCTGCAAACAACATGCAAACAGACATACAAAGGCAAATCTTCCACTCCCCGGACCTGGCTTAGGTAACCCTTCCCCACCCGTCGCTCTCCCTGGCCCCAGAGGATGTCCCTGGATTCTTACCCATCATTGTTCAGGTCTGCTAGGGCAATGGCGCTGCCAAAATAGGCGCCCACCTGTGAGCCCTCCAGCACCTGCCTCCTCCGCAGGTCTCCGCCAGCTTCCCGGCTCAGCAAGAAGACTGCGCCCATATGTCGGTGCCGTGGGGCACCTGTCACAATGGTGATGTCTGTGGGGTGCAGGATGGCGCTGCCTACCTGCACCGTGTACCCTGGGATAGAGGGAAGATATTGAACCAAGGTCCCAGTCAGTTTTGTCCCTTTCTACGCTGGACCATCTCCCTATCCCTTCCACTGACCCCACCATGATGTTACATCCCACTCTTCTAAGTAGGGCAAGTAGGTAGACTCCAGGTGGCCAGTAGCCACGCCCCATCCCAGCCTGGTTCCTGCCTGGACACTGGACTGTGGGCACCCTGACGGCAAGAACTTCGAATCGAGAGCTTGGAACAGGTGCTGGTTAATCCGTGTGTGCTACTTTAACTAAATGCCATTAGTCACAACTGCACTCTGGCCTCACCTTTCCAGCAGGGACTAAGCCCCCATCCCCTTTATCACCTGATGGGCTACCACTACTGTACTCACCAATATAGAGGTTTCCTTGGTCCTCTGGGTCCTTGTAACTATACTCAGACAAGTCCCAGTCCTTACGCTGAATCATGTAGCTGTTTCCTTCATGGGGATTCAGGGAGGGAGAGTAGGGGAGTATAAGTCACCACTGCTTTCATCTGCCATGTCCAGCCCACTCCACCCCCAAATAAAGATAATAATAGCCCCTTATATTTGTGAGCACTTTGCCATTTGTAAATCACATCTTCTTTAACAATTCTTGTTTTTTCTTTTTCTTTTTTTTGAGACGGAGTTTCGCTCTTGTTACCCAGGCTGGAGTGCAATGGCATGATCTCGGCTCACCGCAACCTCCGCCTCCTGGGTCCAGGCAATTCTCCTGCCTCAGCCTCCTGAGTAGCTGGGATTACAGGCACGTGCCACCTTGCCCAGCTAATTTTTTTGTATTTTTAGTAGAGACGGGGTTTCACCATGTTGACCAGGATGGTCTTGATCTCTTGACCTCGTGATCCACCCGCCTCCGCCTCCCAAAGTGCTGGGATTACAGGCTTGAGCCACCACACCCGGCCCTTTTTTCTTTTTCTTGAAATGGAGTTTCGCTCTTGTCACCCAGGCTGGAGTGCAATCGTGCCATCTTGGCTCACTGCAACCTCCACCCACTGGATTCAAGCGACTCTTCTGCCTCAGCCTCCCAAGTAGCTGGGATTACAAGCATTTGCCACCACACCTGGCTAATTTTTGTATTTTTAGTAGAGACAGGGTTTCACCATGTGGGTCAGGCTGGTCTTGAACTCCTGGCCTCAAGTGATCCATCTGCCTCGGCCTCCCAAAGTGCTGAGATTACAGGCATGAGCCACTGCACCCAGCCTATTTTAACAATTCTTTAAGGTAGAATTATGACACTCACTTTGCAGATGAGAAAAGTGAGGCTCGGGAGGGAAGCTGACTTGCCCATAGTCCCATGAGCGGATGTAGAGCCATGGCTAGAACCTAATCACCCAGGCTCCTGGATGTTAAACGCTAGATGGCTTTCCCCACTCTCTAGACACTGAGCTCAGACTCCACATCATTATCTCCTTCTGGTCCTGACCCCAAACTCGGGCTGCCTAGCTGGCCCTTGCACCCAGGTCTGCTGCCAGAGGGTATCTGTGACCCTGCCAAGGTACCACATGACCAGGGGGTGGGAGGCAGGACCAGAAGAGGGGGTGGAGGCCTCAGCCTTCGGTGAGCCCAGAGCTGTAACTATGCCTGGGGCTACAAGTTGGTCAAGAGGAGGAGATTCAAGACTCCTCTGCCTGCTGATTCTGTAACATAAAGGTTCAGTAAGGGAAGAGGGGTCACTATTGCTACAGCCTGTGTGATGAAGGGAGGCAAAGACATGGAGGGAGTGTAAGCTGACAGACACCCCCGGTGAGACCATGTGTAGTGTGGTCTTTTACAAGAAAATACTCTGCAGCCCCTACAATGATGGTCCTATATATATCAACATGAAAAAGTGCCCATGACTTTTGACAAGTGAATGAGAGAAAGTCGCGATATTTATTTACTGTTTTGAGACAAGGTCTTGCTCTGCTGCCCAGGCTGGAGGACAGAGCACAATCACAGCTTACTGCAGCCTCAACCTCCTGGGCCCAGGCAATCCTCCCACCTTAGCCACCTGAGTAGCTGGGACCACAGGTGTGTGCCACCATGCCTGGCTAATTTTTAAATTGTTTGTAGAGACGGGGTCTCCCTACATTGCCTGGGCTGGTCTTGAACTCCTGGGCTCAAGTGATCCTCCCACTTCAGTTTCTCAAAATGTTGGGATTACAGGTGTGAGCCTCTGCACCTGGTGATACCTACATGTTCTAAAATAAATCTAGAAGGACCCATATAACACTGAGGAACAGAAAGATGGGTGGGGGAAGAACACTTTTCCATTTTATTTTACCAAGTCCTGCTGTACTATCCAGTGGTTGTACCACGAACATGTTTTATTTTTTAAATTAGTCTGTAAATGGTTAAACTGAAGTCAGGTGGACCTGTATTCTAGTCCAGGTTTCATAAGTTTATTGGCCTTGGGCAACAAACTTCTCTTAGTTTTTGTTTTTGTAAAATGGATATAATATTACTTGCCTGGTAAGAGTATTTTAAGAATGATCGAAGCCAGGCGTGGTGGCTCACGCCCATGATCCCAGCACTTTGGGAGGCCTAGGAGGGTGGATTGCTTAAGCCCAGGAGTTCGAGACTAGCCTGAGCAACTTGGTGAAACCCCATCTCTACAAAAAATATAGAAAGTAGTTGGGCATAGTGGCACACGCCTGTAGTCCTAGCTACTCAAGAAGCTGAGGTGGGAGGATCACCTGAGCCTGGGGAGGTCGAGGCTGCAGTGAGCCATGAGTACGTCACCGCACTGCAGCCTGGGTGACATAGTGAGACCCTATGTTGAAAAAAGAGAAAAAGGCCAGGTACGGTGGCTCATGCCTGTAATCCCAGCACTTTGGGAGGCCAAGGCAGGTGGATCATGAGGTCAGGAGTTCAAGACCAGCCTGGCCAATATAGTGAAACCCCATCTCTACTAAAAATACAAAATTTAGCCAGGTGTGGTGGTGAGCACCTGTAGTCCCAGATACTCGGGAGGCTGAGGTTGCAGTGAGCCGAGATAGTGCCACGGCACTCCAGCCTGGGTAACAGAGTGAGACTCTGTTTCAAAAAGGAAGAAAGAAAGATTGACTGACATAATATGTGTAAGGCCCCTGGCCCATAGTCAGTGCTTTAAAACAGTAGGAGTCATGGTGATTGTTGATACTGGCATGAGGTCCTGTCTCTAGTGTGGATGGCCGAGGCCGGCTGTCCCGGTGGCTAACTGGGGGTGAGTAGTCTTTACTCTTCCTTCCTTCCCACATAGCCCCATGGTCCCTACCTTTCCAGTTGTAGGCACCAGGGGCACCGAAGTACACGGTGTTCTGGGTGAAGCCGCCACTGGTGCCCAGCTGGCACATGCCCGTCTCCAGGTAGTCAGTGTTGCTGTTGCACATCTCGTTGTGGTAGGTCTGCCAGTCATCACTGGGGTCCAACTGTAGGTCATTGCCTCGCACAAAGCACTTGCCCACCATGCGCCGCTGGTCTTCTGACCCCGACCACAGCACCTGCGTGTAGCGGTGGGCACAGACCTGGGGACCCCCCCAACACATGCAGCCTTAGTCAGGCCTGGGGACCCACGTCAGCTGTCTCTTTTACCCTGGAAGCCTCTGGCTTTGCCAAACGAGAGTCAAAGGAGATCTCCTGGCTCCTCCTCCTTCTCCCAGTGATACTTAAACCTGCCCTTCCTTTCCAGAATTCAGATATCTGCTCTGAGGGTCAGGGACACTTTTTGGAAAGCTGTAAAGTGTGGATTTGAGAGTGGCTTCAAGATCTCAGCAAAGGGAAAGCAGGGCAGGATGAGAGACTGTGGGGTTCAGGCTCTTGGTCTAGAAGGAGTTAGTAATAGAGAGATTAAGAAACTTGCTTCTCTGCCATCTCCAGATGACCCATCCTCTTAATGAAAGGACCATTATTAAAATGATAATTACAATGATAGTAATAATAATAGCAGCAGCTAACACTTCCTGAGTGCTTCCTACATGTCAGGCACAATTCTTTTTTTTTTTTTGAGACGGAGTTTCGCTCTTGTTACCCAGGCTGGAGTGCAATGGCGCGATCTCGGCTCACCGCAACCTCCGCCTCCTGGGCTCAGGCAATTCTCCTGCCTCAGCCTCCTGAGTAGCTGGGATTACAGGCACGTGCCACCATGCCCAGCTAATTTTTTGCACTTTTAGTAGAGACGGGGTTTCACCATGTTGACCAGGATGGTCTCGATCTCTCGACCTCGTGATCCACCCGCCTCGGCCTCCCAAAGTGCTGGGATTACAGGCTTGAGTCACCGCGCCTGGCCGTCAGGCACAATTCTAAGCTCCTCCCATGTTAAGTGTTAAGCCTGCTAGTGACCCTATGGCATAGGAATGATTATTTTTCCCACTTTAGATAAACTGAGGCACAGAGAGCTCAGTTACCTGCCTAAGATCTCATATCTAGAGAGAGGCAGAGAATATTCAAACCAAGGCTGTCTGCTTCCAAAATCTGAGCTCTTTAGCACGTGCTGGGCTGCCTCACAGTGGGGAGAATCTATGACAGCTTCTTCAGTGCCCTTTAGGTGCTCAGTATATATTTATTGCAGAAATTGATGGACCACACAGAATAGGGTGAATTTTTTTCTTTAGACGAAGTCTTGCTCTGTCACCCAGGTAGAGTGCAGTGGCACCATCTTGGCTCACTACAACTTCTGCCTCCTGAGTTCAAGCAATTCTCCTGTCTCAGCCTCCTGAGTAGCTGGGACTACTATCCAGGCACGTGCCACCAGGCCCAGCTAATTTTTGTATTTTTAGTAGAGATGGGGTTTCACCATGCTGGCCAGGCTGGTCTCGAACTCCTGACCTCGTGATCTGCCGGCCTCGGCTTTCCAAAGTGCTGGGATTATAGGCGTGAGCCACCACTTCTGGCTAGGGTGATTTAAAATAGCCTGGAGGCAGGGAAACCAGAAGTAGACCCTGGTTCTTGTTTACTTACTCTCTGTGGCCCCTTCTAGCTGTGAGCTCCAGCAGCGTGGCGCCGAGCCTGTCGTAATCACTGCTAAGCTTCTAGGAACAGCACAGTGTTTGGTACACAGGAGGGGCTCACTAAATATTTGTTGAATGGATGATGAGGAAATAACTGCTAAAGGATCCAGGGTGTAGAATCACTTTAAATGGGCTCCTAGACCACAGCCATCCGTAACAGGGGTCTCAAAAAGGCATTTCAGTGACTGAAGCCAACCTGGAGCTTAAAACAGTGTCCAAAGGTGACAGAAACCACAGCAGTGATGGCTTCTGGGCGGCAAATGATGAGGAGTTACAAGGGTGCCTTCCGGAGTGATTTTAAGATATAGCTTTAGTTACACAGGTATATACATTTGTAAAAATTCACTGAAGTTTAAAACCTGTACATTTCACTGTATATAAATAATACATCAATTTTTTTTTCTTTTTTTGAGACAGGGTCTCACTCTGTCACCCAGGTTGGAGTGCAGTGGCATGACCTTGGTTCACGGCAACCTCTCTCTCCGGGGTTCAAGCAATCCTCCCACCTCAGCCTCCCAGGTAGTTGGGATTACAGGTGCACACCACCATGCTGGGCTAATTTTTGTATTTTTTGTAGAGACAGAATTTTGCCATGTTGCCCAGGTTGGTCTCAAACTCCTGGACTCAAGTGATCCTCCTGCCTCAGTCTCCCAAAGTGTTGGGATTATAGGAGTGAGCCACTGAGCCTGGCCACGTCAATTTTTAAAATGAGAAAAAAGCTAGACATAGTGGCCCTTGCCTATAATCCCAGCTACTTGGGAGGCTGAGGCAGAAGGATCACTTGAGCCCAGGAGTTCAAGCTACTGTACTCCAGCCTAGGTGACAGAGCTAGAGACCTCATAGAAAGAACAAAAGAAAAAGAGAGAGAGAGAGAGAGAGAGAGAGAGAGAGAGAGAGAGAGAGAGAGAGAGAAAAATGGGGTCAGGTATGGTGGCTCACACCTGAAACCCTAGTACTTTGGGAGGCCAAGGCAGGAGGATCACCTGAGCCCAGGAGTTTGCGACCAGCCTGAGCAACACAGTCGGACCCTGTCTCTATAAAAACTTTTAAAATTAGCTTTGGGGACTAAGGCTGGAGGCTGCTTGAGTCTGGGAAGTCAAGGCTGCTGAGATGGCACCACTACACTCCAGCCTGGTTGACAGCGGGAGTCTTCTTTTCTTTTTCTTTTTTTTTCTTTTGAGATGGAGTCTTGCTCTGTTGCCCAGGCTGGAGCATAGTGGCATGATCTCAGCTCACTGAAACCTCGAACTCCCGGGTTCAAGCGATTCTCCTGCCTCGGCCTCCTGAGTAACTGGAACAACAGGCATGTGCCACTGCTCCCAGGTAATTTTTTATGTTTTTAGTTAAAGATGGGGTTTCACCATATTGGCCAGACTGGTCTCAAACTCCTGACCTCATGATCTACCCGCCTCGGACACCCAAAATGCTGGGATTACAGGTGTGACCCTTGGTGCCTGGCTGGGAGTCTTCCATTTTGAAAGAAAAAATAAAGAAAAGAAAAAGAAAAGGAGGCTGGGCGCGGTGGCTCACGCCTGTAATCCCAGCACTCTAGGAGGCCGAGGTGGGTGGATCACGAGGTCAGGAGTTAAAGACCAGCCTGGCCAACATGGTGAAACCCTGTCTCTACTAAAAATACAAAAATTAGCTAGGCGTGGTGGTGTGTGCCTGTAGTCCCAGCTGCTCGGGAGGGAGGCTAAGGCAGGAGAATCGCTTGAATTGTGACCAGAGGCGGAGGTTGCAGTGAGCCGAGATCGCGCCACTGCACTCCAGCCTGGGCTACAGAGCAAGGCTCCGTCTTAAAGAAACAAACAAATGAAAGAAAAGAGAGAGGAAAAAAAATGGGGGGAAAATGTCTACCTAGGACTCAGAAATTGAGAACTCAGGGGCTGGCACTATAGAATGTGGACAGGAAGTGACACATTTGATTAGCCCCCAGACCAGAGCTGGGTGAGCTGGGGTCAGCAGGGGTGGGCCTCTTCCGGCAGTCGGCCTCCCAGGAAGGAGTGCCAGCCAGCGCCAAGCCGCCCGGGGCCCTCTCTGCCCTTTCTCCTCCTCGCAGTTCCCTCGGCTCCCTCGACTTGTTCCCACGAAGGCTGAGCACCCAGCATGGGTATGGGGAGGAAGCGGATGAGTCAGAGGACTCAGACCGTGCTTGGCTTTGGCAGAGCACAGGATACTCACCCCCTCCCCAGGATTGCAGGGAGCGAGGGACACACATCCGCAGGAAGGGACACACGTGCTGGCCCCAGCACACACGCACCAAGGACCCCTCTGCTGCCCTCTGCTTTCCTCCAGCTCTGGGAGATGAAGGGGAGAGCCAGGGAGGGGTGGAGGCGCCGATGCTGAGCACCCACTTACCAGGACTCTGCCTGCAGGACCCTGGCTGGCCACAGTCACTCCAAGCCACATGTCCTCAATAATGTGATGGCCGGGGTCACCTGTGGGCACAGGAGGGATCATGAACCAGAGCGCCTCACCCAGACTTCAGTGCCCAAAGCCTCCAGAGGCCAGGGATGGGTCCCTCTTGAGCCCTCCACCCACAGGGCCGCCCTCCCCACTCCCCTTCTCCGTTATTCTGAGCTCCACCGGTCCCATTCAGCCCCACTCCCCTCTAGGACACCCTCTTCCCAGCTGGACAAGCAGCGACTAGAAACTGTGTGAGCAAACCTTCTATCGCCTCCAGGCCATTCTCCCTGCACTACCCCTCTGCCAGACCTCTGACCCAGCACCCCTCCCCAGCCCCTTCACCTCACTTTTCACTGTGATGTCCATCCGCTTACAGTCGTCCTTGTGGGCAGTGAGTGGGCACAGGTACACTGCACCAGTCCGGTTGGTGTAGCCATCGGGCACAGCGAGCTCCCGGGGGGCACCAGCCAGGAGCCTGGGGATAGGGAGGGAGGTGGGTCCGGGTTCAGACTCCCCAAGCCCCACTTCAAACCATTTGCTATTTATTCGACATACAGGTTGGAGGTCAGGAGACCCCCCAGCTCCTGCCTTCCAGAAGCGCTCAGCATAGGGGACAGCAGGCAAGGACACCAGAAGGAAGCGCCCTCGGAGTGAGAAGCAGGCAGACAGCAGCCCAGGCTCAGGGCTGAGGGGCCGTCATGGAGGCCAGCAGAAGAGGTGACCTAATCTGAGTCTGAGGACGATGACCAGGGTTCCCCAGAAGGGAAGGAAGAGCACTTGGGCAAAGGCACGCATGTGCAGGGCCAGGAAGCAAGAGCCAGTGGGTGATTCAGAGACCTGTGAGACCCTCGGCATAGCTGGAGTCCAGGAGCCTCCAGGGAGGAACACAAAGGCAGGCTGGGAAGGGCCTTAGGAGAACCACATGATCAGGTCTGGGTTTTGGAAGGAATGCTTTGGCCTTTGAGATGAAGGCAGACCAGAAGAGAGCAACATGAGGAATCCGGGTGGACAGTTCCAATTCTGGGGGGTCAGCAGGGAGAACTCAGGGGGTTGGGTTGTCAGAACCCTGGGTTCTTCCTCCTGAAGCCATTTGGGGACTCAGATCTTGGATACCTGGGCCCCTAAGTGACCTGGCTGATATCCAACATTCTTCCCCGGTGACCTTAAGACAGACACACAGCAAGGGGGTGGGATGAGCACCTGGCACTATGGACAATGTGGCCCCAGAGCAGAGTTCCCGGAGGGTGGTCAGCAGGTGGGGTGGAGAAGAACTCCTGCCTTGCCCCCAGCCTGCCCAGAATCCATCTTTGGGGATACCGACAGCAAGTTCCTACAAGGATGCTTAGGACCCTGGCAGCCTGTCCCACAGCATAGGGGTGGCTGGAGCAGAGAGAGGCAGGGACTGGCCCTGAAATAGCATCTCAGAGGACAGGCCTTGGACCATCAGAAACTCTGGGGATCTTTATTCAATAGGTAGATTCCCCTGCCCACACCATACCATCTGGTGGAATCTGGGCACCCCAGTTTGAGAACGTTTTACCTGACTTTCTTCTCCCCCCATCACCTCCCTGCAGCTGCTAAATGTTCTTCCAGGAGCCCCTCCTCAATCCTGACGGCCCCAGCCTTCTCAGGTGGCAGGCACCTCCCAGGTGCCTCACCATTTTGCCCCAGCAACTCTATCGATCCACAGCTCCCAGCTGAGAACCTGGGCTCTGGGCCTCCTGCCAGCCTGGAAGTGCCAAGCAACAGCCACGCCTGTAGCTCCTGCCTGGAACCTGTGAGTGTGGGCTGCAGGGAGGGGGTAGGGCAGGGCCTGGGCATGCTGGGGCCTGGGACATCTCCACCCACTGGAAGTCAGGAATGTACTGCCTGCGGGTGCTGGGAAGTGGGGGGGGGGGAACTTGCCTGTACCTCAAGACTACAGCTCAGACCTCACCCTGGGGAGTGTTCCTGGGAGAAGGGGTGACGCTTCCTGGCCAGGGAGGCTGGCAGGGGGCCAGGCTGGCAGCCAGGCTTGGAGAGTCACTTCTGTCTGGGCTGGGAAGGCCTCGATGAGTCCGCTGCCTGACCACCCATGGACATCCGCTCTCTGGCGTGCCTGACAGATGAGAGAAGGAAGCCGCAGCCTGTGGGAAGGGAGCGTCTCAGCCTGAGAGCCCAGGGACCTGGGTCTAGGGTTTGTTCTGCCTGAAGGGACAATTTCCTTTCCTTCTCTGAGCCCTGAGTGCCTCATCTGTAGAATGGGGACAGCCCTTCTCCTGCTGACCTCCAGGATTGCTGGAGGAATAAATAGGTCTATTCTGCAAAAGGGTATTCTGATATGAAGCCATGGCTAATGAGAGCACTGTGGTGCTGATTTGTTGTGACATCAGGACTGGCCTTAGCATGATGCCAGCACTTCCTCCAGGGACCCAGGAATTTTTTTTTTTTTTTTTTTTTTTTGAGACAGGGTCTTGCTCTGTCACCCAGGCTGGAGTGCAGTGGCATGATCTCAGCTCACTGCAACCTCCGTCTCCCGGGTTCAAGTGATTCTCCTGACTCAGTCTCCCAAGTAGCTGAGATTACAGGTGTGCACCACCACATCCAGTTAATTTTTGTAATTTTAGTAGAGATGGGGTTTTGCCATGTTGGCCAGGCTAGTCTCAAACTCCTGACCTTAGGTGATCCACCTGCCTTGGCCTCCCAAAATACTGGGATTGCAAGCATGAGCCACTGTGCCCAGCTGGACCCAGGAATTTCTGCCTTGGCATGTTAGGGAACCTGGAGCAGAGAGAAAAGAAGAGACTCCTTTGGTGGTTTAGAGAGAGCAGGGGAAAGACATAGGAAGACTTCCACGGCTTGAGGATACCAGGTGATCACTGGGGTGGGGGTGGGAGTAGTGGCTGCTAGAGTCACTCTGTTGTAGGGGCTCAGATCTGGCTGGAGGTGGAGGTGGGGGATTTTCTACAGTGACATTGAAGGGGTCCGGGCCTCAGTAGGTGGCAGGCCTTGGGCATGCCTGTAACGGAAGTGTTGCCCCCTTATTGCTGCTGCTGCCCTGCCCACATTCTCATACAAGAGGTGGCTAAGCAGAAGGGTCTCCATGCCCTTCCAGCCCTTCAACTCAGCCAGGAAGGGGCAAAGGGACCCCCCTCCTCTGAAATTCCTGAGGTACTGAGCAGGCAGAGCTGGGTACACATGTCAACTAGATTGAAATACTTTCCCTTACCACCTGTACCCTCTTGCCCATTGCCTGGAACCAGCCTTATGCCTACTGATAGAGGGTGGAGGAGGGCCAGTGCCCTAATCTCAGCCCTACATCCCAGGCCCCTCCCTCCCTCCTCAGAGATTCCAGAGGGAGCCCCCCCTTAACCCCCCCAGAGTATTTTTAGCTTCCACTTGGCCCACTCAGAGGCCCTTTAAGGCCCTCTGGCTCCCAGCCCAGGATCCAATGGGTCTACAGCCAGAGGCCTGCGCATGGAGGGGGAAGGTGCGTGTGCAGAGGGTGGTTCCAGCTTCCTCCAGCCACACACAGCCAGGTATGTGCAATGGGGGTTGTAGAATCCAGAAAGTGGGAGGGACCTTACTGGTATGCAAATGAAATGTAAATTATTATGCAAAGGAGCACTTCGGCTAGCCACCTGTTTCCGGGTCTGGTCCAGATCAACAAATCTAAAAGCAGACCCCTTCCAGAGCAGTACAGAGCCCATCCTCTCAGCTGCAGCCAGGAGGGAGACTAAGTGGAGGGATGCCTAGATGGAGGTCTTAGAGCAAGGGAGACAGGAGATGGGACTGCCCCTCTCCTGCAGTCAGGCTGGACTGGGGGGAGCAGAGAGCCCCAGCCCCCCGGACGGAGTGGGATGACTACTCAAGGGCTTTCCACAGCTGCGTCCTCACCTTCCCATTGGCTCCAGGCAAACAGCCCTTTTGGCCTCTGCAGAATCCCTTGAGCTCCAAGTTCCGGAAAAGCCCTTCCTCGCCCCTGCCCTATCCCTCCCCTTGGGGTAGTGCAAAGCTAATGGAACAGCCAAGGAGAAAGCAGGAGAATCAAAGAAGGGCAGGGCACAGCACCCAGGAGAATTCAGGGTACCAGTTTGGCTCACCCCAAAGAGGAGAAGGCCCGAGGGTCACTGGGGTGGGGTCATGCTCAGAGAAGCAGCCTGGAAAATTCACCTTCCCAGATTCCCTCACCTTGGGGAGGCGCTTGGTGGCTCCATGGGAGGGTTTCAGAGGGAGCCAGAGGATCAGGCATCAGGCCAACATGGCAGGGCCTCACTCCTTGGGTACCTAGCCTCCTGTGTTCCCCTCCCACCCCAGGCCAGGGGGCAGGTGGGGAGGGCGCCCACTCTACCTCTGAGCCCCAGAGTAGGGGTGGGGGCAGCTCTGGGATGCCTGGATCCCAGTTCTGTGCCAGCCTTGCTGCCCGAATTAGCCATCTCCCCAGGGGCTACTCCTATGGCAGCTGAAACTGCAGCCCTCCCTGTCCTTCCCTATTCTTCCTTTGCTGCCCACCCAGCCCCCTCTCCCCACTGGTGACTCAGCCCTAGAACGAGGGCAACAAGCTAGAGGGAGAGAGAATGAGAAGGGACAGGAAAAAGAAGCTTGGCAAAGCCTCAGATAAAAAAGAACAAGGCTGCTTCGCTCAGTTCTTCTCCCTTTCCTTGGCTCTTCAGTATTTTTCCTATATTTGACCCCCAAGGGCATTCTCCATGTCATCTAACCTCAATCCCTCTTGCTGCAAAGGGGATCCTCTTCCTCCTTTGTTTAGTTCTGACCAAGCCCCCTCTGCTGCTTCTTTTTCTACAAATCAGGCTCCTCCAGCCCCACCGCCGCCCAGTTGAAAGCCTCTTGGCCTAGACTGGTCACTGGGGAGAGCCAGAGGAAAAAGATACTTCATGTACAGGCCTCCTGCCTCCAGCCACAGCTGCTGTGCCCATTTCTGCTGGCACGAGCCTTGGAGGCTGCCAGGCACCCGCCCTGCCCAGGGGAACATGCTGTTAGTAGAGGGCATAGCAGGTGAGCCTGGTTCCTGCCTACCTCAGGCATGACCTCATTCCTAGGAGCTACCCCGCCCTGGGCTTCCCAGATACCCTCATTTCCAAGCAAAAGTGAAAGACAGAGAAGGACTGGAGGCATCCCCCATGGCCCACAGGGTCAGGCCAGACCAGGATCCCTGGATTCCCAGGAAGGAAGGTCAGTGCAGGTACTGGGGCGGGGAGGGTGTCAGTAACACCTCCCAGAGGACAGTCCCTCTCCGTCCAAGGGACCCCTTGTGCATCTTGCCAAGAAACCCAGAGCACCTTGGCCCTCTGCCTGCTCCTTGACCCTCATTTCCACAGACTAGGAGATTGGGCCTTGGGTTGGAGTTAGCCCCCTATGTTGTGGGCCACAAACCCCAGTCCAGAGAACTTCACTTTCCAGTGAAGGTGATGGGGGAGCAAAGAGGATCCCACCTCTGGGTTTCTAACCATTACTGAGACCTTCTTGGAGAACATGAAAGCTGAGCTCTCCCCTCCTCCCACCCTCAGGTCAGTGAAGAAATAGCACAATTTTGGATACACTTTCTTTCTCTCTCTCTCTCTCTCTCTCTCTCTGTCTCTCTCTCTCTCTGTGTGTGTCTCTCTCTCTCTCCGTCTGTCTCTCTGTCTGTCTGTCTGTCTCTCTCTCTCTCTCTCTTTCTTTCTGACAGAGTCTTGCTCTGTCGCCCAGGCTGGAGTGCAATGGAGCACTCTCAGCCCACTGCAACCTCCGCCTCCTGGGTTCAAGCAATTCTGCTTCAGCCTCCCAAGTAGCTGGGATTACAGGCGCCTAGCACCACACCCACCTAATTTTTGTATTTTTAGTAGCGATGGGGTTTCACCCTGTTGGTCAGGCTGGTCTCGAACTCCTAACCTCGTGATCCGCCCAGCTCAGCCTTCCAAAGTGCTGGGATTACAAATGTGAGCCACCACACCCAGCAGATTTTGGGTACACTTTCAGGGAGTCCCTGCATCTCCTGAAAACCTTCTATAAACCCCAGTTTAAGAACCTGTCCAGGACCATGAACCATCCTGCTTTTCCAAAGAGACTTTCAGGCTAACAGAAAATAAGGCTGCAGCTTGTCTGACTAGTTAGTTCCTCCGAGCTGTGCACTCAGGCAGCTGTTTGCATCTGGCTACACAGCTGGCTGCAGCTAAGCCCAGCTGGCTCTCCCAAAGGGCCGAGGGGTCGAATTCAGTGAGATGAAGAAAAGGGCAAAGATACAGAACCACCCTTAGGAAAGACTGAGGATACTCAAGGGAGAGAACTCCTGCCCCTCAGAGGTTCATTAGCTTTAGAACCTTCTGGGCTCTTGGCAGGCTGAATGCCAGCTCTAGTTTCCCAGATAGAAAAGTAGAACCCCCGGCCGGGCGCGGTGGCTCAAGCCTGTAATCCCAGCACTTTGGGAGGCCGAGGCGGGTGGATCACGAGGTCAAGAGATCGAGACCATCCTGGTCAACATGGTGAAACCCCGTCTCTACTAAAAATACTAAAAATTAGCTGGGCATGGTGGCGTGTGCCTGTAATCCCAGCTACTCAAGAGGCTGAGGCAGGAGTATTGCTTGAACCTGGGAGGTGGAGGTTGTAGTGAGCCGAGATCTCACCATGGCACTCCAGCCTGGGGAACTAGAGCTTAACTCCACCTCAAAAAAAAAAAAAAAAAGAAAAGTAGAACCCCTTTGCTCAGCCACCTTGGGCAGGGCCCATGGAAAATGAGGCTACATCTAGGTTCTAGCCTCAAACGAGAGCCTTCAGGTGCTCCTTGGAGAAAGGCACGTGTGCAGAGCATTTTACAAACTTTATCTCCTTACAGCCTCACTAACGTCCCAGAAGGAGGCATGCTGTTCCCCTCCCTCCAACATGTAAGGAAATTCAGGTCCAGGTTTTGGTAACAGATCTGAGACAGGACCCTGGCAATGGGACCTCCAGGCCGCTTCTCCCTCTACCATATCAAGTTGCCTCTCACAGACCAGCAACGGTAGGAAAGAGCATCTCAATCCTGGTCCAACCCCTTTTGGGGGAAACCTGGTCCAGGGAGGGGAAATATCTTGCTCAAGCTCACCAAGCAAAAGGGAGAGGGGCTGCAGAATCACTATTGATTCTTTCCTTCCAGTCTGATCTCTTGCCTATGTTACTTTATATTATGCAGATTTGACATTGAAAGTCTGAAAATCACTGGGCAAGGTGGCTCACTGCTTGCAATCCCAACACTTTGGGAGGCCGAGGTGGGTGGATCACGAGGTCAGGAGTTCAAGACCAGCCTGGCAAAGATGGTGAAACCCTGTCTCTATTAAAAATACAAAAATTAGCCAGCGTAGTGGTGGGCACCTGTAATCCCAGCTATTTGGGAGGCTGAGGTAGAGAAGTGCTTGAACCTGGGAGGTGGAGGTTGCAGTAAACCGAGATCATGCCATTGCACTCCAGCCTGGGCAGCAGAGAAAGACTCCATCTCAAATACTCAAAAAAAAAAAAAAGGCCAGGCATAGTGGCTCATGCCTGTAATCCCAGTACTTTTGGAGGCCGAGGCGGGTGGATCACGAGGTCAGGAGTTCAAGATCAGCCTAGCTAACACAGTGAAAACCCATCTCTACTAAAAATACCAAAAAGTAGCTGGGTGTGGTGGCAGGTGCCTGTAATCCCACCTACTCAGGAGGCTGAGGCAGGAGAACCCCTTGAATCCGAGAGGTGGAGGCTGCAGTGAACCGAGATTGCACCACCGCACTCCAGCCTGGGTGACAGAGCAAGACTCCGACTGAAAAAAAAAAAAAAGAGAGAGAGAGAAAAGAAGAGAAAGTAAGTCTGAAAATCTTTTTCTAGTTTAGGGCAGAAAGAGTACTGATATAGAAACTTGTGCTAATGGTGACTCAGGATATCCGAAAGATAGAGGGTTGGCTAAGGCCAGGTGGCAGCTTCTGGGGCCAGCTGGGAAAGGTGTGGTAGCTCTAGCCTCTGCAAGAGCGAGACAAAGTTGAGGTCAAGTCCCGGTAGGTAGGCTGGGCCAGGAGGGCAGAACCAAGGCCAGGGCAGAGTTTGGACTTTGGACATTCTAAACTTCCTCAAGCTCTGCAGGCCCCAGCCAGAGCAGGGAGAGATTTCAGTGTACCCTGAATGTGATCACGTCTTCTTGTTCAGTGGGGTCAGAGGCCAGGTGGGATCAGAGACCAGGTGGGGGCAGATGCCTGGAAGATCGCCCAGCCCGAAGAGGTGGATGGGACCTGTCTAACCTGTCCTAACCCCCGTCCCTCCATGGGCAGCCTCACCTCCCCCAACCGTAGACCTCAGCCCACTCTGAGGCCATGGCGGAGAGACCTCTGAAGCCTGGCCATGCTCCTGGCCATGAGTGAGTCTGCTGGAGTGAGGGGGACCCAGGCGGCTGGGTGCAACCTCCTCCTCCTTCCTCCCTGTGCATAGCTCTTCCCCTCCTTGCAGCTGTTGGGGAAGGAGAACAGAAGAAAGAGAAAAACAGTTTCCCTCTTCAAACCAAAACAAACACACTCGGGGTTGAAGACCCAACATGAATCTGTGGAATGCAGGGAAGATGTCTGGGAGGAGAGTGCCCCTGCTTGGGGGTGGGCAAGAGGAGACGCAGCCAGAGTTGGGACAACTCCTCCTCTCTCTTCCACTGCCCCTATCCTCAAGGCGTAGAGCGTCTGGACAGCTCCAAAAGCCCAGACTCACCCATCACCTCACCCTCCATCCGCCAAGCCAGCGGTTGAGAAGGCCATCCAGACTAGCTCTGCAGAGGGTGTGGCTGGCGTGGCCGCAGACTACAGCGAGGTGCTTAAATGCATATGCTCATTTTTCCCCCAAGTGTAAGGGAAGGGGGGGTCTGCTGGGTGTTTATCTGGCAGTTTACCCCAGCTCCCAGCCCTGCAGAGAAGAAGCTAGTGCAGGGTACTCGGTTCACAAAGTGGGAGAGGACTCAGCCACCGGGACCCCACTTCCGCTCGCAGGAGAGATCTAAAGGGCGGAGGGGTGGCGTCTAGACAGGTTCTGGCCCCGTCAGCACTTGCCAATGATTACTGCCCGACCCCACGCCCAATCCTCCACTTCCCGCCAAGCCCCAGCAACCAGAGGGCCGCCTGGGTACTCGCCCCCTTAACCCTGGTTCTCAAGGGCCAGCAGCCCGGGGCTCTGAACCCGCACCTTGTGCACGCACACTCTCGCTCCCACCCCACCCCGCCCCTGCCAGCTTCACTTACAGGTAGCGCTGCTGCCGCTCAGTCTGCCGATGGAGGGCGACCGAGTAGCCGAAGAGGCTGCCCGGGTTCTCGGCCTCCTTCACTACCAGGAATCGGGTATCCAGGTTGAAGGCGGAGACGAGGCGGCCGCCGGCGGCCACCATCAAGGCGAGCACGCAGAGCATCAGGCGTGGGGCGCGGGGCGCGCGGCTGGGGCGGGGTCCCATGGCTGCGAGCGGGCGCGGGGTCCGGGCGAGAGCGCGTGAGGGCGCGGAGCTGGGCAAGGACCTGTTCACCTGCTCCCTGCGCCGCCGGAGGACGCTGGAACCCGCCGGCCGCTGCGCTCCGTAGTGCCGATCGGTTTCGTACCCCCAGCCGCAGCCAGTTTCACAGCTGCCCAGGGTCTGCGCTCTCGGATCCCCTCCTAAGGTCCGTGGGTCTATCTTCCCGCCTCCCCAGAAGGCCAGGTCACCGCTGCCCCTGCCCCGGGCAACCGGCCCCCAGCTAGTCCCGGCCGCGCCCCCTTGGCCACAGTGTGGCCTCTGATCCCGGCTCCGCGGCGGATCTGGCAAGCTCACCGGTCGACCGCAAGGAGGACAGGAGGGAGGGGTCCCTCGGCGCGCGCCCCGCCTCCCCACGCCCAGTCCCGCACCTCCCCACCTTGCGCGCACAGCCCGGGCTGCGCTTTCCTTCCGGGGAAAGAGAAAAAGGTCCCGGCTCGGCCGCCGCCTCTTAAAGGGGCAGCACCGCCCCTCCCTCCTCATCCTGCCTATTCCAGCCCCGCCTTCTCCCCCAAACACCTGTCGGCAGCCCCCAAAGACTTGGATTTCCCCTCCCCGCCCCTCGCTTCTCCCGGAAAGCATCGCCTCGGGAGCAAGATGGATCGGACGGGCGGGGCCGGGGGTGGGATTTGTCCTGCCGCTTTGCTGCGGCTGCTGCTGGAAAGGCCAGCGAGGCTGGAGAGACCTGGCGTTGGCGCATCTGGGAACCGCCGTCCGCGCGCGGCTGGCTGGAATGCTGGACTCGCCTCCGCAGCGCTGTGAGCCCCCAAGAGGTGGCTGGCGTTCTCTGGGCGTTCTTCGTCGCACCCAGGCCCCTCGCTGTCTTTGTCGAGATTGAGTTCTCCTGCCCACTCACCCTGATCCGAGCCGAGATTGGCTCCTCAGCAAAGCCAGACCATATTTAGCAGTGGTAACAACCAAATGTCGCTAATTGTAATTAGGGACAAGCATTTTTCCCCACTAAGGGCTGCGCCTTAATCCCAGCACTTTGGGAGGCCAAGGCAGGAGTTTGAGATCAGCCAGGCCAACATGACGAAAACCTGTCTCTACTAAAAATACAAAAAGATTGTCAATGTGGAAAAGATTTCCTTCTTCCTAGAACGCACTGTGTGGCCAGGGGGCTGGGCCTAGACTGTACCCATTTCTCATCCACTCCTGCCTTCAGGGCCCAGCCCAGCAGAATCCCAAATGCTCCCTCTTCCCACCCAGGCTCGAACAGTGTTTGGAGACTGGGCTTGGGGGTCAGTCCCCACCAGCTGTTTTTGTGGCTAGCGCCAGTTGGCGGTAGGTGGGCGGGGCCTAAAGATCTCCGCCAAGGAATCAAATTGAAAGGGAACCTCAAGAGGTTACTACGGATTTTGGGGATCTAACTCACATTTCTCTTACTGCAGCTCTCAGACCTATTTCTCCTGAGCATTTTGTTCTCCATCTATTCTTAAAATCATAAGAAAAAAAACACCATGTAGGCCGGGCGCGGTGGCTCACGCCTGTAAACCCAGCACTTTGGGAGGCCGAGGTGGGTGGATCACGAGGTCAAGAGATTGAGACCATCCTGGCCAACAAAGTGAAACCCTGTCTCTACTAAAAATACAAAAAAATTATCTGGGCGTTGTGGCACGCGCCTGTGGTCCCAGCTACTCCCGAGGCTGAGGAGGAAGAATCGCTTGAACCCAGGAGGCGGAGTTTGCAGTGAGCCAAGATTTCGCCACTGCACTCCAGCCTGGCGACAGAGCAAGACTCCGTCTCAAAAAAAAAAAGAAAAGAACACCATGTATTAAGCATGTATGCAGCAGGAACTATGCTAAATGCTTCACAAATGTTAAATCCTCACAACAATCTTTGGAGTGTTATCTCTGGTTTAAAATAAGAAAAGTGAGCTCTGGGAGGTTAGGCAATTTGGCAGAGGTCACACAACTAGGATTTTCATCCTGTGTTATCTGACCCTGGAGCCCTTAACTATGTATGCTAATAATTAACATTTGTACACTACTTCTGGCACATCTAAGTTTGGTGGGGCCTGAAGCTTGTGCAATCTGGGGCTCTCTTTAAGAATAAAAATTTTTTTTGTACTCGTAAGAATTATGAGTACAGGGCCAGGCGCAGTGGCTCACCCCTGTAATTTCAGCACTTTAGGAGGCCAAGGCAGGTGGCATCTGACATCAGGAGTTTGAGATTAGCCAGGCCAACATGACGAAACCTTGTCTCTACTAAAAATACAAAAATCAGCCGGGTGTGGTGGCACATGCCTGTAGTCACAGCCACTTGGGAGGCTGAGGCAGGAGAATCACTTGAACCGGGGAGGCGGAGGTTGCAGTGAGCCAAGACTGCGCCACTGCACTCCATCCTGGGCAACAGAGAGAGACTCTGTCTCACACACAAAAAAGAATTATGAGTACAAAATTAGATTCAGAGCCTAGGAAAAGGGTCCCAGCCTAGCTTTACAGTTTACGAATGATTTTGCAGGAAAGCTCATTTTACCCTTCCAACCTCCCTGTGAGGTGAGGATTATCATCTTCATTTGATTTAGGAGAAAGCAGAGCCTCAGGAGGTTACCTGCCTGTCCAAGATCTGAAGCTTATGGGAGGCAGAGCCAGGACTGGAAGCCTCTGACCACAGCTGTGTCTTTAAGAGACAAACTTCAGGCAGATGGTGGTCAAACAGCTAGACATGCCTAAACAAAAGCAGCTGCGATAACAGCTTTCTCTGTGGGAAATACCCACCTAGAAACATAGACAGAGAAACAAGGCCATGGGAATAAATAAAGTTTGGGGAGAAGACACTTGTCTTGACAGCCCTTAGAACAGGATTTGTTCTTGACCTGTGACTTCCAGAACCACCCATCCTCTCTCGTGGTCTGCCTTGTGGCCCAGAACCTCCAGGGATTAGAAGACGTGTGGTGTCAAGGAGCAGGAAGCTGACCTGGATGGAAGTTGAACAGTGCGCTTTGCTCTCTGGCTGGCTGCTGAGTCCTCCACCATGTTCCTGGAGAAGGGGAGCCAGCCAGGGCAAGAAGGGTAGGGGCTTAGGGTGGACTCTCGGTGTGGGTGAGGATCCTGCCTGAAACTGAGTTCTGCGATGACAGATCGGCCCCATGCCAGGCCTTATCTCTTCGGACATCCCAAACAGGAATTACCAGCATGTCCGATTCTGGGACTGGGAGCCGGAAAGGGATGAGGGATGGCTTTTCCACTCCAGGGGAGTGTCCAGAGGGAATCTGGAGCAGAGCAGGGGTGACTGGCAGGGGGAGGGCCTGAGCTAAAGAATGTGGGGGAGTGTCAGACCAGTCTGGGGAGATGGAGACTAGAAGGATCTCAGCTGGAGAGATGGAGAAAGAAATCTCCAGGTCCTTTAGTTTTAGTGGCACCGCCATCTGTAGCATCATCTCATTCCGCAATTGATTTTGTCATCATGTCAACTCTTTATCTGTCAACCTTTCTCATGGAGAACAGACCCACCTAGAAACATAGAGAAACAAGGCCATGGGAATAATACGTGTAACGAGGAGTCTAAGTCCATTCTATGATGTTTGCTGACAGCTTTTAAACCTCACCCTTCCATCTTCCCTGTGCCCCATACCTGGACAAGTTGATAAGAAAGCCTGGGTGCACCCTTTTTTGGTGTTTGAGGGGGGAATAGTCACAAGCCCCTTCCCGAGGGAACCCTTACTCCTTAACCACAATAAAAACTCAGGCCAGCTGGGGGCTCACGCCCTGTAATCCCAGCACTTTGGGAGGCCAAGGTGGGTGGATCACCTGAGGTCGGGAGTTTGAGACCAGCCTGACCAACATGGAGAAACCTCATCTCTACTAAAAAAAAAAAAAAAAAAAAAAAAAAAAAGTAGCTGGGCGTGGTGGCGCATGCTTATGATTCCAGCTACTTGGGAGGCTGAGGCTGAGGCAGGAGAATCACTTGAACCCGGGAGTCAGAGGTTGCGGTGAGCCGGGATGGCACCATCGCACTTCAGCCTAGGCAATAAGAGCTAAACTGTGTCTCAAAAAACAAACAAACAAAAACCCCAGCCAGTCTCCTTCCTGGCTTTCCCAAGGCATTTGGGACCTCCTTAAAAGGCCAGCCCTGCTCCTCCTGGAGACCTCAATTATGTAAATAATAAACCTTTTCATACTCTCTTGGTGTTTGGGTGGTGTCTTCAGTCTTTACGTTCAAACCAAGCCTTGGAGAGGGTCCGTCTGCCTCTGCAGGCGATCATAACATGCAAACGGTGGGTTCTGCTGGAGGGTCAAGGAAGCTTCCTGGAGGAGGAGTATCTGGACAACAGGGAAAGAAAGGAGCGGTAGAAGAAAGGCAGAAGAATTTGGTCCTGGTTCAGGTGAGGTTTTCCCAGCCGGAACAATGACAATGTCAATATTCTCTAAAGGTGACCTGTTTATTTAGTGCTTGCTGTGTTCCCATGAGTCTTCCTCTACCTGCCCTCTCCCCAGCCCTCATCTCACCCTCCTAGAGCTTCAGAGCACAGCGGTTGACACACTCACCTCTCAGGGGCAGATCAGCGTGGAGAGTTATGCACATGGGCAGTTGCTGGAAAAGTAACGAGGAACTGCAGTGATGTGCCCCTCAGTTGAGTGCAAGCTCTCTTCTGCCTCCTCACCTTGGGCAAGTTACCTTCCTGCTCCAGGCCTCAGTTTCCCCATGTGTAAAATGAAAGGGCTGGAGAGAAATCCCTCACTTCCCATATCTGCATTCATTGTGTCCCAAGCCTTCTAATGTCTGTTCAACAAAGTGTACCAAATCTCAGCTATTGGACTGAGACTCAGCCTCTATCTCAAACTCGAATTGAAAATGCAAATTACTGAAGAGGAAGGGAGGGAGGGAGGAGTGTTGAAGCCTGAATGGGCTTATCAGATTTCCTTCTTCCGTGGCCCAGACGCAGGTCTCGTCCAGGTGATTCCTCTGGCTCAGAATCTGTCAGGCTCAAACAATCATTGACAGCCTACTGTGTACCAACCCTGGGCTGAGTCCCACCCTGCGGGTGTCTTAGAGGAGACCAGGATGTGGTCTCCGGCTCCGGACACTCTCAAATTTAAACAGGCTAGACCCACTTTGCATTATATTTTACTGGTGGTACTTAGGGGACAAAGAGAGCTGTCAGAGGCCCAGCACTTTGGGAGGCCGAGGTGGGCAGATCACCTGAGGTCAGGAATTCAAGACCAGCCTGGCCCTGCCTCTACTACACACACACACACACACACACACACACACACACACACACACACACACGCACAGAGTTAGCCTGGTGTGGTGGCAGGTGCCTGTAATCCCAGCTATTTGGTAGGCTGAGGCAGGAGAATTGCTTGAACCTGGGAGGCGGAGGTTGCAATGAGCAGAGATCATACCATTGCACTCCAGCCTGGGTGACAAGAACAAAATTCCATCTCAAAAAAGAGGAGGGGGGACTGTCAGAACATTCTGGCTGCCACATGAAGCTGACTTTGCTAGGAGAGACTGGGTTGGGGTGGAAGGCAACTACTGTAATAATTTGACCAAGGGGTGGGCGGAGCAGGGGAAGGGGCTGAGGTAGAGAGAGAG